CTGTGTAACTTTTTTCTAAATATGAATTTCTGAAATAAAGGACGTGGAAAAAGGTTTCATCAGGGAATTTCGTACATAGAGAAACGATATCCGGGTAAATAAAGTTTTAATATGGTATCTGATTACCGCTGGCTATATGATTATCCTGAAATCAAATATTCCAGGAAAACAACAAACGTTATATCTTGGATACCGTTTTATCTTCTAAATATATGGGATAATATGAATTATTTAATATTAACCTGCATGTTTCTCGAAAGCTTTATGTGATGATAATCGATATTAAATTATCTAAATCACTGTAACTTTCTAGATGTAAATTGCTATAATATAAATATCAAATGGAATATTAAATCGGTTTGACATGAAGTATAAACAAAACGAAAAATAATTTAAACTTTTGTTTATTGTCGAGACGGAAACAATAAAAGAATACGTATTACAGAATTTAGCCACAATTTTCTTGCCATGGGTGGTACATGTAATACCGGAGTAAAACAGTTCTATGTGTTAATCTATGCACGATTATTTTGCTTTTATTCTTCAAAACATCATCGAGGTGCTACTTTCCTGTGAGAAAAAAGTTCAGACTACAAAGAGTTAAAATCGTTACCTGATATTAAAATTAAACTATCTTTTAAACTAGTGACTTTTTATCATAAATAGCTTAGTATTTTTATGTAGCAAACGATGAGTTGCATCAATTAATGCATTAAAGGTATAATTTTATATAAGCAAAGTCACATCACATCATATAATCTTACAAAAGAGAAAAAATTTAGTTACATTATACGTCCCTTAAAACAGTTTAACTTTTATCAAGAATTTTGTTTACTATCGACAACAATTTCAAATATATTCGTATATGTCGATTTAAATGGGTCATCCTTCGATAATAAAATTGTATTGTCGCTGTACTTAAAGTCCCCGTTCCATTATCGTCTTAACTGCTCAAAGTTATTATTAACATGAAACATTGATCCAGAAATGACATAGAGATTAAGTGATGTATAGTTCACCATAAACTAGTGCAATCCGCTTTATCATCTATAACCTATGAATGCAGAATCTGTCTCAGAGGCACATCTAGTACGACTATCGACTCTGCACTAGCTTATACTATGTCAATCACAATTAGGGGGTAACTGAAAGGTAGAAATATGGAAGTTTTACTGCGATCAAGTATCTTCTGTAATCCTGAGTTTCCACGTAATTGTCCAAGCTTGCGAATTTATTCAGAAAGCTATATACCTTTCGAATGACAAGTTGCAGAGATAAAATAATCCTTCAAATGATAATAGATCTCCGAAGCATTTATGAATTCTAAAATAATAGAAATTGACATTTCAACTGAATGATATTCATCAGAATATAACTGCATAAGAAGAATATTTTAAAAAATCACAAATTATATTTTAAAAAATCTTTTTCTGAAGTTTGTATACTAATATACGTAACACATAGTGAGTAAGTCACGGAAGTATTTCTACTCCCCCTCTCCAAATTTTTAATTTTAAATTGCTGCGCTTTTACGACATAAACTTTAAAAAGCCAACAGAGACAAGATTCGTAAATATTTTTATTTTTACACATGACAAATTTTTACATCAATTTCTTTCATTCTAATCCATGCGATATGCTTTAACTTTTTAACTATTTAACTATTTTCGTTGCAGTGAATCACTATTTTGCAGCAAAGTGGACACGTATTTTTATTGGCAAAAAGTTCGAAGTTTGAATTATAAAAAATAACAATTATTTGAAATCGATGATTGGAAAGAGAAAGAATGGAATAAATAATACATCTAAGACTTACTATACAATATAATAGGGATGAAATATATCGATATCGTTATTACAGCTTATTGCTATCAAAAACAGTTCTGCCATATAGTTGATGTTTCGTAACAAATGGGTGACTCTAGGTGAAAAAATGCGACCGAAATGTACAATAAAGTTTTATCGTATGAATAAAGCATGTACACGTGCATTAGGCTGTACGTTCCATGCATGGAGAAACGTTAATCCAGTTATGTACTTTGAAAAAGATACAAGTGTCGAGCAATTAAAAGAAAAAATTGGTTTATCGTTTGGTACATTAAAATAGACGAACACGTCAGAAAACGTGCGCAGAAAATTTTTTCCATGCAAATTGTGTACTCGGAAAAACTGGCAACGTTTTCAAGAGAAATAAAGTAATAAAATTCCTCCTGCATAAATATTCTGTTCATAGTATTTGTAATTAGCCACTAAATAACTAACTGTATTATACTGCATTGCACTATATGCAACAATTATACTATGTCGAGTAAAAACAGCTCACAACGATGTTTATTAACTTCAAATACAATCAAGTGTGCGGATACCTAATGAATACTTTAAATTAATTGTTTTGAAAACAGAATCTTCCATGTTAAAAATTTTGTTCTATTTGTCTTACTTTTTCACGTAATACCGTTTCTTAATAAATAAATAGAGACTTTCTTAATAAATAGAGTAAATATACTTGTATTTTTATTCTAGAATCAATGGAATCAACAGAATCCATATTCACGAGTTATAAACTTTCATACTATGTCCTCAACAAGTAAACGAATTTATGAACGAGAATTTCGTATATACTTATTTATAAATAATGGAATATTACTGCTCAAATCATCCAGAATTTTGCGTGTATAAATTATTCCTTCCTCTTTACCGTAGGTTTATGTATTTCATATATACGTGGAATTTTTTATCTTCCTTAAATGCATTCCTCAGTTTTCTAATCATTTCGTTAAAATCACCATTGAATCAGCTTTATAATGATTGTGAAACGTTTGTTCCTTTTTGAGATTTTAGAGGCACTCGGTATTAAATTACAGTCAGATGATGTTTATACCAATAATAGTATTATATTTAAAAATGATACACCTTTGTCAAATGTAAACTAAATCATGATATTTTACGTAAATAATGAAGGCATACAATCAATGCAAAAGGTGGTAAAATAATAAGAGCATAATATTCAGTTTCATAAAAGCATCTTGTCTATGTGCTGTCTGTAATATATTCACTTCATGTAATATTCTGCATCAAAAATATTATGCGTATAATCTACTATAATCTCTATATACTCACAGTGTTTCATTAAAAATAAAATACATTTTTCATTTTTAACAGATTAAATCAACGCTCGAATTTTCAGTATTCTTGTCGCTCTTTTAGACATTCAATTTTTTAAATAGCGTTTTCCACTTTTTCGGTACCTACTTTTTACATAAATAATTTTGTAATAGTATAAGATATAGTAAAACTTTTCCCACAAAAAGTATTTAATTTTTAGTGTCCTATTATCGCGTTATAACATAAAAATTGAAACAAAATTTTATTCGAAGCAGGAAAAAAACGAAACCGGCACTTTGAAACTTAATTTCACCTCAAAGAGATTTTCCGCCGATAAAAAAATTGCTTCATGTAAAACTCATTATGTACTACATACAACAAACTTTCAATAAAATCCAACTTTTATAGTTTGGCAAATTTTCGTGTAATATAATATTCGATCATCACACTTAACTGAGAGCAAATATATCTATAACACTGTTAGGAATAAAATTAGATGTTATCACGTAAAATAAAATGGTATCGAATAATGCACAACTTTAACATAATTTAATGCATTTCTATATATTCTTGTTTGACATTTAACTTTCTCATAACTCCTTTCTCGTCGATAACTCTTTGCATCGTCATGGTATTTATGAGTAGTGAAAGAATAAACACAGTCACTTTGTTTATTAATTGTAATTCCAATAATTAAATACCAAATGAATTAACAAAATATTAAATATAACGCATAATTTACAATAATGTGTAATAGTACACGAGAATGTCTCAGCGAAAATATACTAACTAAATATACTAAATTTCGTGAAGTTTTAACGATTTGAACTATCATTTTTAAATTAAAAGAAATAAAAAGGAAACTACCACGTATGTGTTACCTTCAGTTTCGAGCAGACATGGGTATCATAATTCTCAATTTTATCGCAAAAAGATGTAGAGACAATCGTTCTCACCCTCGCCACTAGATAGATTCCGAAAAAACCTCGGAAAATCCTCCACTTTCTACACATACAACTTTCCGACCTTCCAATAGTATCCCGGTCTAAGGTAGGGCCTGCTAGGGTAGCCTTACCGATGAGTCAACTAACAGGCCCAAGACGAAACGCATCCCTTCCTTTTCCTTTCGACCCTTCTAGCACTACCGCTATCGAGGATACCTGCGACCTAGCCAACTTCAACAACCGTGGGGGAGGACCCCCTACAAAGATATCATTATCCTTCATGTCTAGCAAAGAAAGCAGTTAAATTATTCTTCAGAAAATAGTAGCACAAAAATATAAAAGTATAAAAAGAGAGATAAACAAATTTTGATGCCTGTGAATGAAAAGCAGTTTCTTATATGTATATCCTAAATTCGAATCATCAAAACACGAAAACAGATTTCATATTGGATATAGAAAAGATGTTTGAAGGAAAACATCATTCGAGAAAACATGGAAAAGAGTAATATTTTTCAATATTTTAATTTCTCTTATCATACAATACCGTGTTTCATCTGAAAAGTTTGTTACAAATACCTTAGTGCTTTTTCGTATAAATTAAAAAACTACGTCGAGCAGTGTAATTAAAATCGCAAAATACCATTTAGAAAAATGACGTAGCCGTATTTCTTACATTCAACAGTACGTAAAGACGCATAAAATTACATTCAGAACGTGAGTCGTTCGATATCGTTTAATTTTACCTCGTCATATTTTTTCCTAGCTTCAACAGTTTCCAAGATATAGCTTCCAGTTGCGTGGGACAGCCTGTATACACACATATACAAGCACGCCTAGAAGCTATGAAATGGGAAATACGTTAACACCAATCGAAACTACCACCTGACCGACAAAAACCTCTGTTCGGTCGAAGAACCCGAATAACACGATGTTCGCTGGAATCTTTTGCAGGTTTACATCGTGGGTCACACACCACCGGGGGTGGACGATCGTCGGAGCAGTGCAGCGGTGTTGAGCGAGCGTCACAACACCAAATACCTCCAGCTGATCCGCCAGTATTCAGACATCATTCGCGGTCAGTTCTTCGGTCACTGGCACTCGGACACTTTTCGCGTGGTTTACAGCGATACCGGTACGTGTGTATGCCAGTGTGTGCGAATGTGTGCGAGTGTGTGCGCGCGTGTTGTCCCTTCTTGTTGGCAATAGCGTGGCGGTAGAGCGCGATGAATCAACCGGGGTGGTTGGATCGATGCGCGAGCACCCAAACCGTGTTCACCCTTTTACGGTGTGCGGTTCGCCGAGTGGCTGCGTCTCTCTCCTTCTTCCTTCGTGTCGCGAGCACGGCTGTAACTTACATTCGCTTCACGCTACATTTTCCACGCTTTTGTCCCGACCCGGCCGCTGCTTTTCTTCCCGGTTTCAACTTAACAACGCGGAATTTTTGCCCGCAAACGTTTAATCTTCGACGCATCGGAATGGAAACGAAATCGGCCTTCGTCCTTTCACCCTGATTCCACCGCGATTCTTCCGCCATGCTGTTTGCCGCCGTGATCACGCCACCGCTATATTCATCCACTTCCATCCTTTCGATTTTTCCACCATTTCCGTCGCGCGATCACCCTTGATCCGGTATATCAGCGCTTTCGACGATGGTGGACCGTAGATCGCTTTTGTTATTCAAAGGTGATTTAATCACGGTTTGAATTGTATCGGCCAAGTTTCAACGTGTCCCAGTTCAGATACAAAGAAACTGAGAAAAACGCGTGCCACCCCTGCTTTATTATTAACTCCGTCACGGATGCGGCTTGACAGTAAAATCTATAAAGTGCATTAAGCTTCGTGCAGGTAATTAGTCCTTGTAGTCTTCGTGACGTTAGTAATGTAGACGTCGATTGATCGTAATCTGACGAAAACCTATACCAGCAATTTGTTTTCATGTTTTATAGATGATCGTATAGAGAAGAAACGGTCCGCAAAAATTCTCGGATAGCTCCAATTTCTACTGTGATTGATCACTCTTAATTTGTAAAATTCAACTTATATTTGTAGAGTCTTTCTGAAATGTTTACATCACTTATATTTTGACTATTTATTCGTAGCCTCGTGATTATTTCGTTGGATAGAATTTCTAACGAAAAGCGTAAATCTTACATTTATGGAAAATATCGTTTACAGATTTGTCGTTGGTCTGTATTTGCATTTGCGTTTGCGTTTGTTTTTCCGTTTATTTACGATTCTCGATGTATGCACATATTTACACTCGACTTGCTTTGTTCTCCAATTTTCTATCCAATCTAAAATTTTTAAAATTTTTCTTCGCGTAGGAAGTATCTAAAGTTGTTCACGTGCTTGCACCTTTTTCGTTTAAATTTCTACAATTTCTCTGAATTACTTTCGAAGAAACCAACCAAGTTCCTATTCGACGAGTTGTTATTAGAGAGATTGAAACTAAATGCAGCAGATTAAAAAATGTATACAATTGTAATTTCGCGAGTGCCGAGATAATAATCGACCGAGAAAGGAAACTTAGATTGTCGAATAAATTGTCGAAAGTGAGATATTCTCGTGGGAGAAACGACTGTATAGATACATACGAACGTAGGACGGTTGGATTTTACGCCGCTGTGCAGGTCCATTCGGTCATGCTCGACTCACATTTTTTGCCTCGTTCCTTCATCGAAATGGCCGAGACCACGAACGATAATCAATAAATTCTCCGCATGTGTCGTTCAGTAGCCAGAATACTTTTCAGTCGTTTTACAGTCCGCTTTATCGGTCACGTCAGCGAGTTCGGCGCGCTTTTAAAACGTTCCTAACCGTTTTACGTTCGCTTACGGCCACACGCTACTTGTTCGACCACGAGCATGTGCATACATTGCGAAACGCGGAAGGAATTCGACGAATAATCGATTTTGAGACATGGTGACGTTTGTGTGGCTAGGTCTGCCGGTGTCATGGATAATGATGGCACCCAGTATATCACCCAACAGTCTCGGTGGGCCCAGCAATCCAGGTCTAAGACTGTACAAGTTCGAGACTACCACTGGTCAGGTAAGTAGCAGCGATCGACGCGCCGCCGTGCGGCACCATTTATAATCTCTGTCCAGCCAACGCGACAGTCTTTATTTATGCGACTTCTCGATTGAAAGAGACGAGAATATATATAGGATTCGGAGACCCATCCTCTCCTCTGTTCTGTCGTATTCAGGTGCTGGATTATACGCAGTACTATCTTAATCTGCCGGATGCGAATTCAATCGGCACGGCAAACTGGTTGGTCGAGTACTCTCTGCTTGAGTACTACGACCTTCAGGAAATTACGGCGATCACTCTTCACGACCTGGCCGACCGATTCACGCAATTCAATGATCACGCTTTCGTCAGGTACGTAAACGGATCGACCGACAAATTTTTCCATCCGTCCACTGGAATACGTGACCGCGATCGTATCGTGGACAGGGATCATCGATCATCCGAGTTTGCTGGTATCGAACACCCTTTCGTTCCCTTCGCCCCTTGGGTTCGAGCATTTGCTCGGAAAAAATGAAACATTTGCTTCACGTATTTTCACTATTCCCGTTTTTCCCCGTTCTTTGATTTTCTTGCTGCTGCGTGGTACGCGTATTTTATAACTAAATTTTGCACGTTGGTGGACACCGCAGGATACATTTTGAAAGACTCCTATGAAAATAGAGGAATATCGTTACGATCGAAAGATGACAAGTTTTAATTGTTTTCTTCGATTTCTGTTTTTGGGAATTTCGTTGAATTCTACTATCGTTTTGAGAAATATTTATAATAATTATCAAATATTTATAATTAAAAATGTTTGATAAGAATTTATTAAAATATGAGGAAAGATTAACCTCGCTCTATTATTAGAATTACTTTTGTCACTTATTAAAATTACTTTGATTGACAAATTTATTTTTCTTTCAATTTAGTTAATATTTCGCGTCGATTGGATATGAAAGTAAAATTATTATTATTACAATAACATGATTCTTTATTTTAGCTCATAATTTTTCTCAAACTTTTAATCGAGATCTCGATGATGTTAAAGGTTTCAAAGTTAAAAATGCCTCTACGATTAATAAAAAATTTGACAAACCCTCGCTGTTTATAAGAAACTTTCAAAGGAGTGAAATTTGTTGAAAATTATAAATAAAAAATCGATAATTATTAATTAGCCCTTTACACCTCAACCAACTTTATAGTATGATCAATCAACAAGAGTCTTTTCTGAAATCGCTGGTGAAAGTAAAAAGTTGTTAATATTCGAGCTGTTTATGGATCAAAGCGATTAACTTCGTTTTTGGAATTTTGCAAAACTTTTATATCAAAGTACTTGATCGATACTCGATTCTTTATATTTGATGTAATATCTACTTTTTGTTTCGCGAAGTTAATCGACTTGGGAAATAAATAACTCGCTCACTATTATATTTCTGGAAATTATGCTATTAATTTATTTGTTATAGAATATTATTTTTCCACGTAATACTTTAAAACTCACAATTTTCAATTTTTTTCGTTTTTTATGAACTTTTCTAGCTGCTAAATTTCCATTTCTTTTTTTTGTGGAAATAATGATATTATTAATGCCACCTTCGATAACTCGTACTTCATTTTCTTCTTTTATAAATAATTCAAATATTTCTAACAATCTTTTCTCTACCATTGCTGACTTACCGTCTACTATGATATTTCATAAATTATTTATATGAGCCGTTTATTTTGAAAGTGGCCTAAGTCCATTTATACTTAAATTGAGATATTTAGGGAGCTGTTTCAATGCAATTAAAAATATACGTACAGGATACAAATGAGTCATACTGCTAAAGTGTATCTAAAGGAGTTAAATTTATAGTTCCTATTAAAATAATGACAATTATTAAGTGAATAGTATGCGTTTTCTTACCAAGAATGGAGTTAGGACACTCAAAATTAACAACCAGATTCCTTATAAAATTTGGAGCCCAAATCCATTCAACATAATTTAAGATGCTTCAAATTGAAAAAAACAATACGCAATTTATTTTATATATCTTTATAACACTTCAAAAACATTATTTATGCGATTCAAAACATTTTTTAACTATATAAATTATAAAACAATTTACTGCTCATCTACATTTTGTGTGTATGAAAGAGATTTGAAGAAATCATGATGTTCCGGTCGTTTTGTTTTTCCCCATGGGTGAAATAATTTCTAAAATTTAATATTAAATTTTAAGTTTTATATTTAACTGTAAGTATGTATATTGCGCAAATTTTTGTTAACTGCATTAATTAAACGTACTTATTATTCAACTAAAGCAATTGTCCAAAAGCTGAGGTTAACTTGTTAAATACTAATTAATTAAAATTACATTCATCACTGCCTTCGGACATTATCAGTAATAAACATCTCAATTTATGTATAAATGGACTTAGGCCATTTTCAAAATAAACGGCTTCTATATCGTTATATAATTGAATAAAAATAATTTTCTATCCACATGTTTAACGATGAAGAATAACGTTAATGTACTAAATAACACAAGCAATTGTTCTCGCATCACTCGCGAAGTACTGAAACGAACTGCGATCATGTCATTGAAGTAACGGTCAATTATGATTCATATTATGGATGTTGTCGTAACGGCGCTTATGGAGTTATAGTGCAAAATATGTACATATATTGCCACAGGGGTGCCTATGAAGTTGTGCTACAAAGTATGCACATACATCACTCTAGTCACGCCTATGAAGTGCAAAGGATTAAATTAATTTACACGTATATTATTCTCTCGATTCACTTACTTTCCCCACTATAATAGCGTCCGTTTAGCTACAACTGCTCGGTACTTTATCGTTGCAGCAGACAGGAGAAATATATTCGTATTTCGAAAGGGTAGTTTTCCAAGTATTAATAATCGATTTTAACAAATTTTACGGACGACATTGTTATCGAAAAAATATTGGATTAATTTTTTTCTTTCCTTTTATTAACAATTATACACATTTTGGAGGTGAAAATATCTGTGACAATTGGAACTGAAAAATATATTCTTCTCATTTTCTTGAAAATAATTGAATGCGAAGAAAAATATAATATGTCAAAATTATTTTAACGTTAAAATTTTAATGACAATTTTCTCTATATCAGTGGTTTTCCAAAGTATAAATTTGTTAAAAAATGTATTAAATATTGATATTTTGTAATTAATTAGTTTAGTTGTTTTTACTTACTAAGCAGAAAAAAGCAGGACAAATATTATTTTAAAAACTATATCTTCCGTACATTTCGTCAAAATTGATTATTAACCCTTTGCACTCGAGAGGTCACTCTTAGTCACCATATAATCAGATTCTAAAGATCGACGTTAATTAATATATCAAATTTAAAATTACCTAACGATGTGTGGAATGTAGAAGAAAAATAATTCTGTCTTAATTTGCATATGATTTCTCATTTACCATTTTAAAAATATCGTCGACTCTATGACAGAAGGTCTTCGAATTACTATTCTTCTGTAACGAAAAAATCGTCGAGTGCAAAGGATTAATACTTGGATATTGCATTTGAATGCCTCATCACCGATGAGTTTGCATTGAGTTTATTTATTCCAGTATTACTGGACGATTCCTTCGCTAGTACTCAAAGGCACGTTATCGCGTAAACACTGCAACGATAATCCTGTGTTTGTATTGCATATGATTTATCGATATATTTTACCGTGACACTAGAGGCCAATTTCGACCCTGTGAAATGAAATTGAGTAAACGAGTATTTGATGCGATGTTTAAATTGCGACACTATCATTAAATCCACTCGAAAGTGAATCACCCGGTATACACTCACACATGAAGGTATGTGAATGATTACATTTGCTGCTTTTAGCAACTGAAATATGCACGTTAAACGGAAGTGTTTGAAACAATATACTGTACATTGTATCACCAAAGGGAAGTCTTCAGATCGTATTACTAAAACTGGAAATTAATTTAACGACATACAGGGTGAGTCATTTAATTATTTTACCCAAATTCTTACAACAAAATATATCGTATAAAAGAATATTTCAAACGAATGTTGCTTGCTATGAAAAAGAGCATACAATGGAATAATTCATTTTTGTTATTTCATTTTCTTATCTTGGATTGTTTAAGTAAAGGTAAATAAATGAAGGTAAAGTAAATATCGAATATTGAATGTGGTGTAAAAAATTGTTGAGGCATACAGTATTTATATAGTAATACTTGCATATTTACAAACGTGGACCATTGATGGATAACACAAGTATTTCAACGCAATATATAATAATATTCGAAGTCATAATTGATTAATAAAATATTTTAATACGTTGTCGAATACATTTTGACATTATTGATATTTCTTTAGCTGAACGCAGCGAAAATATACGAAGATTATTAATATCTCTTTTATTAGTGTAACCGTAAATTTTTTAAATTGATATTCTCTACAACAAAATATACACCTACATCGCAAGAAAGAATCACTTGTTTAAAGAATGATTTAATTATAGTATCGTTACGAAATCGTGATTTTCTTATTAGTGTTATAACGATTTTATTTATAAGATTCACTATGACGACCATTTATATCACAACATTTCATGGGTCTAGAAAGCACGTTGCATTCCATCGTATCGGAAGACGTCATATCGTTCTCAAACATTTGAGTTTATCTTAAATACTTTACCTGTTAAGCGTAGCAAATGTAAGAATTCGAGTACTTTAGTATACTAGTATATATATATATCTCACGGATTGTGCAACTGTAGTGTGAAACCAAATCCAGGAACTTATGGGTACACGGGGAAGCAGTTAGGGGAAAAATTGTTGGAGCTAAGCGGATACTGCCGTAGTACATAACGTGGAATCATTTTTATAACTTAGTCCGAAAGTAGTACAGTATGAAACTATCTTGTTCTATAACACCGATTGTATCTATATTTATTTAATCTCCTGTATTATTGACAAAATTTATTTCAGACGATATTACACGCTTTTATGTGTTCCTGCGCAATAACCGTTTCATAGGAAGTCAACTTTTAAGTTAAATTGAAACCGTAAGGAAACACGAGTTGTACGAGAACTTGTACGTTATTATACTTATTTAACGCGAGTCGACAGTGCCAACGTTTCCGTGTCGTATGTTCTTACTTTTACGATTATTTTTTATTGCACAATTACATCATTATTATTTTCTACTTTGTATTACGTTTATCGAAAACAGATAAATTATATACCGAGTGACTCGTTTAATTCTGTTATCAGAGATCGCTTTTAAAAGTATTTAGAGATATCTTTTACATGGTAGAATGTTTCGGATAAAAATTATTTCGTATCAAGAGCGTATTATAAAGTAATAATTTCTTGTTATTTCGCTCGCTATTTCGCTTTTTCCATTCCAGACATATTTTTAATCCACAATTTTTAACTGTAATAATGTGATATTTGACCATGCAATTCGAAATGAGGAATAAATAGATGTTACTAAAGTTACTAACTACTAAGATATACTTTAATCGAATAATATTTTCCGTTCTCTTGAGTCGCATGGTGAAATGTTACACGTCACTGTCAAAGAACACAAGATAACCTTCGTATCTCTCCAGAAAGCGAAATAACGGAAAATTAATTACTACTTTGCATGTCGCTGTTAAAACCGACCAACCTTCGTTTAAAGCATTTTCCCGCACAGCAAACACTTTATACGTGATTTTAGGTGGCAAAGTTAAATCGTTCACTCGGTATGTTACTCGCATTTTTAGAAGCGAGGGTAATCGAAAAAAGTAGTTCAACTATGTACATTAATTTACTCAGGGTAAAAAAGTGCATCTCTTAAATTTTCCATGACTAAAATGGGACGTTGATCCTAATCGAAAGCAGCACTTTTCACATTCAAAACACTTGAGCTGCTACGTCCATTAAGTCCATCAAATTCTTCGGAACTTGGCAAAAACATTCAATTTCACGGTGAGCCCCGTAATTTAATTTCGCTTTAATTTCGCGTTCGAGCTACCTCGCACTCTACCCTGCCATCGCGATCGCGTGAAACGCGCGATACCGCACGAGGGACCTTGAAAACTCTTCCACCCGGGAGCGGCTGTTAACGGATGACTGACGTAAGTTGCTCGTGACAAAGTTACGCGACCACGCAGCGCTGCAGCGCACCCGTACTCTATAATACCCGTTGTGGATGATGGCGAGAATGCGCTTGGCGCATCGCTGCAACGTTTACGTGATCCGATAGGGCGATCGCGAGAGGTAACTCCGCTGTATCTATCGCGCTGTATACGCCAGGCCGTTATTGCATTAATAATTTCCATATTTCTCGAGCAATTATCCGGCACGATAATTCCTCGAGCCGGTTGACGCTGATAACTGTCTACCCTTTTCAACGCAATCGCGTCATTACGATGCTAATGACTGTCCCGATACGGTGGCTCGCGTCTCTCAGAGCCGCGGCCTAGCCAGCACCACCGGCTGATTATCTTTCCGCGCACGCGGCCGCTTATATTCCCACAGATACTACGCGGCGAACACGGTCTCGTTGCCGCGGGAAGTGGAACAAATTTGGGGCTGCGGAGGACCACTGAACGAGGCCTGCGCCCTTCACCACTACTGCACGGTCACTCGGCTGAACCCCAAGTCCTACAGAGAGTGCTACTCGCTGTACGCCTACGCCCTCGCATCCACGGGTCCATCTACACCGCAGCTCTATTTCTCGCTGCATCTGCTCGTGCTGATGGTCTGCGCCGAGTTGCTGAGGAACCGGTAGGATGGGACCCGAACGACCCAGCGAAAGACGGCTGCGTGACAAGCGACCGGAACGCAGCTCCCTGCTCTTCCTGCTGGGCTGAGACGTCGCTCGCCTGCACACAATCCCGGCGACCGATCGAGCTCTGTCCAAGTCGCAGAGATCTTTTCAACCAACCACCGATCTCCGTCGACGGATGACTCGTTCCGTTATCGCGATATTCGTCCGATAGAGGAGCCGGGCCGAGAAGAGAAGGGAGCATCGATATGTACCGCAGTGAGCGATCCACTTTGTCTCTGTGTCTGTCTCTTTGTCCGCGTCTTCTCTCTGTCGTATCACGCGAAGGATTTGGACGTCACGGGAAAATGGGACTCCTCGATGCCATAGCGATCTCACGTCACGCGTTCCGCGGGGATTCGTTCGTGGACCGGAAGCGAGCGTTCGCGTCGAAACACAGAGTCCGGTCTCCGTGCAGGCTGAGGCAGGCCGAGGCGGGCAGATGCTCGCCTCGAACGACTGCACTCCGAACGGTCGTTTAATTACTCGGTCCGCGAAATTTCACGGTCTCCGGCACGATTGGCATTTGGTCGGTGGTGGCGAGTGGCTCGAGCTGGCGTGACCGCGAAACGAGAGAGGGAGATGATCGACAGGGTAATCCTGCAATGTAAAGATGATTCGAATGAAAGGAAATGAAAGAAACCAATGAAACCTTGATGTTGTACTTGCTTCTCTTAAGCGTTTGTGTGCGTTGTTTTATCACGAGAGAATCGTATTTAACTAGGCGCGCGCCTAAAGTCAGCCGCGGGGCACGAGAAACGATGCGACGTGACGGAGAACGGTGGATTTACTCGACGCATCGAACGCACGCTCCATCTCGTGAACCGCTAATTCTTCGGTGATGTCGCGCGACTTCGATCCACCGTCGACATCTCCGGCACGATTGGGTCGAAGCGTTCGTAGCTTGAAGAAGCATTATGTTCGTACCACCATTTCGCGATTGTCGGAACAATACAGTATTTCTTAATAAACGAGTCATGGATTTGTAACTACCAGTTCTCAGTTATTTCATCCCACTATCCAAACGCGATCCCGTTATTCCTTCCGCGTTGCAACGCAATAGCAGAAATTCGGATGAACGAATACGTTGTACGCTGTAAAAATACGCTGTAAAAAGAGCAGCGAAATAGACATGTTAAATGTTTCGTGTTTGCCGTACTACGTATACGTATGTACGCGTCTACTGGCGAGCAAAGAAGAAACGAATCGGGTGTCATTTGCATTCGACGTGAGTTTTACCTTTATGCGGAGACAAGCTATATTTCGTTGTAGTTTCTCCTATAACCCTGTATATCAACAGGAAGAATATCCTAAAAGCCAGACCGAGGAGGTTATAGGGGTGATCGTGGTCCTATAAATAACAGAAAGAATAACGACGAGCTGACTCCGATGGGGCTGCTGCCATCTTCAGATGATTTGCGACTATTCATTTTCTACGAAAATGTAACGCGATCTGTTAGCCCGGGAAAATAGAGGTCCAATCTGAAGATATCGATCTTGTTTTCTGACTTTCTCGTTACATTTTTCGTGCTGTGTTTTACGAGGACGAAGAGTGAAACTTCGTGATGCTTTCCACGAGAAACCTTTTCCTCTATTTGCCTTATCTAGCGTAAAATCATTGTACATTTAAAATTACGCCATATATGACCCACGCGTTCTACAAATTGATGAAATTCAAATTTATGTGAAACATCGATAGTCAAGCGTGGATCGTGTGCTATGGTAATAAAATTTTTCAAAATTCGAAAAGGGGAGTCGATTACCCTTATCCGTGAATGGCTCGTATATCTTTCTTTAGCTATCGTTGTTTCGAGAAAATTTTATTACTGCTTCGATATTAAATAAGGTAAGTAAAGATAAAGAAAATTATTGTACTTTCAAAATTCTTTACATATTTTTTAAAATATTTTTCACATTTTTTGCAATATTCGTTGAGTATCGATTCACTGTTCTTGCTTTAAAAATATTTGTATGACAAAGAATGTCGCCGAGAGAAAATATTACCATAAGGTACTTTGTCAAGGACTTTGTTAACTTTAATATCGATCTGTATATGACTGATCACGAATGCGAAAGAACAAATGATGAAGCTAGAACAGAGTATATAGCTCAAAATATTTCTTACAAAAAGAGGCTTTTTAAATATTCGTTAGAAATTAAACTTTTAAATTAAATTATTAAAAAATTGGATTATTGAATTGAAAAATTTCAGCGATTTGATTAAACAAAGAAAATAAACAGGAATGTGCTATATTCCTGCACTTTTGATTATATTTGTGATTGCCCATTTCTTCTAATTAGTTCAATAATTTTATTTATTTTACAGATTATTTTTATCGCCTATTTCGTATATACATATCTGATTATTTTTGTTTTTCACTAATATATCTAATTATCTATACTACCTTATAAAAAGTTTAATTGATAATTCGCATATAAGTATATGAATACATAGCTGAAACGTCAGTAAACCGATGTATCTACTTTCACTACCTGCACAAAAAGCGTTATTGAAATGCAAATGACTTGAACTACCAAAGTACATACAGAAAATTAATGAAACAATCGTGAATGTTAAAAACAATGATTCGTTACATTAAAAGAGATCAACGAGGGACACTTAAAAGATACTGTTTCCAGAATAATTCCGAAAAATCTTGAATAATTCAAAAAGAAATCTGTTGTTATTAACGAGAAGCTTGAAACGATTCTTCATCGCTCAACCGAACTTCCGATCTCCAACATTTTGAAAGCAACTAATTTGCCTGGTTCAAAAGCATTTAACTTCTGCTGCCACTCTTAATCGTTTCTACATCGATAGCGTTTTCGATTTGTTACGAATAGTAACGAACAATAATAGCATTACCCAGGTGAACCATGAACATGAGCGCGCAATCTCGACACGCGATCAAAAGGGAAACAAGGCTGGACAATGTAATTTAATGAAATGTATTCGGAGGCAACACGAACGGGTAGATTTGCGCGATTAACGGTTGATTGGTTCCTTATCGTCCTATTTTTCGATCGTAAGTTCACTTTCTAATCTCGATATCCGCGGCGCCATTTTCGTTCTCAATTTATCAGATAGCCAGTGGCAAAGATGGCGCTGCCGAGTCTCGTTCCTTCGTCCTTTTATCCCTGTCCCCGCGCGTTTGGAAGTAAACGAAAGGAGTGGTTCTTAAACGAGCCACACCGATGAGCAGTTACCAGGAATTCATAATTTACTCGGATAACAAGATAGGCTGGCGAGATCTCGATTAATTCCGGAGTCGCCATAGTCGGCGAGTAGCTGGCCAAGCTTCCGTAAACGAGCTCCGGCCGGTGCACGTGGTGACAGCAAATATGAAGATAGGTCGTTCATTAACACGAAACGGACATTTAGAGGAAAATGTCGAGAATTTCAGCCGAGTAACGAGACCCAAGGTTTCCCCCGTCGCGAAACCGTATCAAACTAGCAAGGACGAAGATTCTCGGACTGTTGCCTCGCGGGGACTCGTTTAGAATGGCCGTGCACTACCGGCTAAATTAATTTCCCCAGACCGCCTAATAAGCTCCGGAGTGGATGAGTAAAAGAGGTCGTAAATTAAGGTTTTTGTCCGTTACTGCCTATCCTGAATTAGCTGGTCGTTCGTCGCTATTTGCGAATGACGTCCCTTTTTTTTCGACTCTGCTGCGTGTTTTGTCTACTTTCAGACACGTTTTAAACAGCTTTCCATTTTTTTGTCTTTAAGGTAAACAATAGGGTACAGTAAATGTGGAATGAAAGGAGAGGAAATGGAGCGAGATAGTAGTTAGTCCAGCGTTGTTCCGACTAAGTTCTGCAGGTTATACAGTACCCCTCCCAACTTTATTGACGTTACTGTAACGTAAAAACGCTTGGATAATGGCGCGTGATAGGGGAGAAGTATGTATCAAATGAATAGGATTGTTTCTAATTATAGGTAATATCGAGACGAGTGGTATAATGGTATTTGGGTCACCACAGTCTCGTAAATTGATATAGAGCAAAATATAGAGCCAACGTTATAATAATACTGCGAATTCTTTTTTTTAAGTCAAATTAAAAATAAATTCTTAAGTAAATAATTTAAATCGAGTAAATTATTTTTTAAACGAATACGTATCTCAGATACTTTAAATTTTTTTATATACTCATTAATAGATAGTATTCGTTCAACGGTATTTAGTTTTGATAAATATTCCCCAGTAACATGATGTTATACAAAATAAAAAGACTATTAAAAAAAATGGGGGTTGGTTCTAAAAATGAACAAAAATGTGTTATTTTTTTTTCGTAACTAAAAGAATAATTAATCGAAAATAGTCCTCGTTAATATTAGATAATGTGTTTTCCACGTAACACCTTACGAAATATTAGAGAGCAAAATTACAAAGTCAAATGCAAAGTCAAACGATACACGCTGGAACGAAATAAAATATTTTTAATTATTAATTCATGTATGACTTCTATACACGGTATGTGTATTAATTCTAAAAATAGTTGTCAACTCGTCATCGGAAAAGTTTGGAAAAGACTTTAGCAAGTAGTCACTACTGCACGAACTAGAAAATAAATTTTAAATTTCAATATTCTAAAATTCCATGCGTAAATTTAAAGCAATACAGTACGAATGAAACATTCAAACCAATGAAAGTTATCAAATGGCGATACTTGCGCTTCACAATTGTCTTTACTATTGCTATTTCGTTCAATAATTTGTTTCTATTTTACCACCATTTTTTCTAGCGATTACTTTTGGTTTCTCAAAGAAAATAAGCATAGGATAATAACGATTTATTCGTCTTCCACTGTGCTCCGTGTCTTTTTGTTTTCCCTTGAGCAATAATAGGAAATGAAATTCGATATCATCGATTATTAAGCAAAAATATTGGTCAACGAAATAATTATATATAAATATAACACAGTATTACGTAACACGCGATAATAATAATAATACATATATGTAATATAAAAAAGCTATAAATCAATTTCAGTAATCATTTCGCAGTGCGAATTCTATCATGGCAACCATCTTATCGGATCAAATTGGCGAAATAATAGCAATAGTAATACAGTAGCGAAAGAATGGAATAGCAATGCATCGTAACTTTACACGGTCTATCATCACTTGTCACAACGCAAACTCACTCTTCGCCACCTTGCCTGCATTTCAAGTGTATTCTAGCAGGCGGTATCGCGTCAATCGCTGTTTC